CAGCTGCTTCTACTAGACTTGCATAAATAAACATAGATGTTACTTGAAGGAAAATAGAAGAAAAAGACAATCAGAAATGCAGAACAGAAATGTAATTTCGAAATTTTTCAAATTACAAGGGAAGAAAAAGCTCTTTCTGTAGCCTGAGATTGTAAAACAGTATTTTTTTCTCTTCACATGGATAATAAAACATATTAAACCATGTAATAGAACAATGATTATGTAAGTAGGCCATGGTATTTCTGTTTAATTACCCCATTTTGAACAAATATTCAACAGGTAAGGTTCTAGTGGATAGCTCCTCAACAGAGGAATTGTAGTGTGATTGCATATTTACATGTCAGATGATGTTGAGAAAGTGCTTAACAAGAGGGGACACTCAGTTGAGGAAGAAACAAATCCTCGGTTTTACAGTGGGTTGCTCACTGTATCATCCTCCCTTAAGCTTGAGCACTGAATTCTCTCTCTGCCATGCTTTAGATGTCTTGGCAGTTTTGCCAGTTCTTAAGCACGAGCAGCTTGGTGAAAAGGATCCACACCCAATGGGAAGCCTCTCTGTCTTGAGTTCAGTGTCACTGCTGCCTGGTTCCATTGAGGCTACTGCTGGAGATCCAGATGCAGGTCTGGTTATTATTGTGTTCCTGAGCTTCATTATTTTGAGGTGGTGCTGGTGCATGCAAGCTTGGTTCACAATCTTGGCTGTGTGCAGCTGGATACTGGTATTGTATTTGGCAGCACTGCGTAAACCCCATCCACTTGGTGAAGTCATCTAAAATAATTATACTTTTAAATCTACAGAGCTGTTGCCAAACCATGTACTCATGAAATACAGATGCTGTGAATTTTCCATTCAGTTTTGCAGCTAATCTGCAATGCACAGAAGGAGAGCGAGTTGCATTATGAAACTTCCCCCTTTTATAACGCAGGAAAGCTTTAATTAGACATAAATGAGTTTGATCAATGAATCATTAACTTCCATTAAACTTTAAGTACATTGCCTGACCTGGCTACTTCATTCTGAATTTAATCTAGTATACACTTGATAATTAGAGTTAAAGGGACAAGGGCTGGAGGCAATCCTCGATCCTTCACACAAAATGGAGTTGAGTCAGCTAATAAGTTAATTTTATAGTCAGTGTGTAAGGACAGAATTGATTGTAAAACATAATATTCCTAGAAAAGCAGATCAGGAAGCAGATTGTCGCTTTATTTTGTTTTCAGACTCACCTCAGGAATTACCTGTTCAGAGTCTTTCAGTGTCTTCACAGATCCCATCCTCAGCACAGCAGCTGGAGGATTAAGTTGCATGAATGTGCAGTCCAGAAGCCAGTCTTCAGGGCAAGAAAGCCTCTTATAGCTTTGTGAAAGCAGTGGTAGCTCTCCCTGTGGTTAAGCAAATTATTATAACCTGTCTAGATCCAAGGAGCTGCACAGAGTGAAAGGATGGGACCTTTTCATAGCTTCCAAACTTAGGGAAGATAGAGTCACTCTGCCAGCTTTGCCAGCACCTGTATCCAGAAGATCAATTGGTGTTCATTGTGTGTATTTACTGTTTATATTTTTTCATTTGTAAATTGCAGACTTGGTCACTTAGGTATCTCTACATGATGGTGCTGTACAATAGAGACATGTTCCTTGGGAGAACTCTATCATGTTAACCTTATATGAGGAATATTTGAATAATCAAAAGAATAGGCAATAATCTATTGTTTAAAAAGAATAGAGGAAGTTCACAGAATCGTAGAATGACCAGGATTGGAAGGGAGCACAAGGATCGTGAATCTCCAAACCCCCTGCAACATGCAGGGCCACCAACCTCCACATTTAAAAGGCTGCCCAGGGCCCCATCCAATCTGGCCCTGAACACCTCCAGGGATGGGGCATCCACAACCTCTCTGGGCAGCTGTTCCAGCACCTCACCACTCTCTGTAGAGAACTTCCCCCTGACATCTAACCTAAATCTTCCCTCCCTCAACTTAAAACCATTTCCCTCCTTCTGGTCCTGCAGTTATCAAGCCTTTCAAAGAGTTGATTCCCCTCCTGTTTGTAGGCTCCTTTTAGGTACTGAAAGGCTGCAATGAGGTCACCCCGGAGCCTTCTTTTCTCCCGGGTGAAAAAGCGCAGCTCCCTCAGCCTGTCTTTGTAGGGGAGGTGCTCCAGTCCCCTGATCATCTTTGTGGCTCTCCTTTGGACCCTCTCCAACAGCTCTCTGCCTGTCTTGTACAGGGGGCTCCAGACCTGGACACAGTATTCCAGATGGGGCCTCACAAGAGCAGAGTAGAGGGGGACAATCACCTCCCTCTCTCTGCTGGCCACTCCTCTTCTGATGGATCGAGCACAGGATACCATTTGCTTTCCAAGCTGCAAGTGCACACTGCTAGCTCACGTTAAGCTTTTCATCCATCAGGACCCCCCAGTCCTTCTCTGCAGGGCTGCTCTCAAGTCTGTATGGATACCTGGGATTCCTCCGGCCCAAGTGCAAAACTCTGCACTTTGCCATGTTGAACCTCATCAGGTTCACCCGGGCCCACGTTCTAGCCTCTTGAGGTCCCTCTGAATGGCATCCCTTCTTTCCACCATGTCAACTGCACCACTCAGCTTGGTGTTGTCAGCAAACTTGCTGAGGGTGCACTCGATTCCGTCATTGATAAAGACGTTAAAGAGCACCGGTCCCAAGACAGACCTCTGGAGGATGTAGATTATTATCAGCCTCCACCTGTACATAGATCCATTAATCCCACTCTCTGTCTGCAGCCTTATTTCTTATCCATCGAGTGGTCCACCCATCAAATCCACATCCCTCCAATTCATTTCTTGTCTTGCTTTTACACAAGTAAGTTCTCTTATGTCTCTTATCTGAGCTATAGTGTTCTCCTTCTCCTCTGCCTGGATTCAGGCAGTGCTGAGGGATGCTGGAGACCCAAATGTGGACTCCCTTTATCTTGTTTAGTATTTGCTTTGTGCAACCTGAAGTATGTATCTGAAAGTACTTCAGAAAATATTATGTTGTCTGTGTAGAGTGCTGTTGAAACAGATAAAACACTGTAATATCTAAATCTCCAGCCTTTATGTTGGGTTATTATCCTGTTGCTGGTGTCTATGATTGCTCACAAAATGTTAATTTGATGGAATGGAAATCTTCACCAGAGATATGCTCAAATGCATTTGAGGAAAAGGTGCTTGGAAGCTCAGGGTTCTTAACATCTGACTAGTGTGATAAAGAGGAGGGTGGACACACTGTCCCTCCCTCAAATGTTTGTTGGTGTGTTAGGTTGCTCTGAAAATGATGTTTCCTATTTATCTTGATGGAAACAACAGAAATAAAGAGCACAACGACACTATTTGATAGAGCAAATTCTCAGCTACAAATCACTAATTTTCAACATAGTCATCACCATTGGCTCTTCATTTTTGCCAGCAGTCAAAAAGAGCTGTATACCGTGCTCATCAAAATCTGCACCAGTGAATGTGACCTGCTATTTCACAGCCGTTAAGTTGCTAAGAAAATGTTACCCATCCATATTCAGTCCCATCTTTCATTGGCCAAAACAGATGGGAGTCAGAAGGTACTAAATCCAGATTATTTGGTGAGTGTGGTGGGACAGTCCAGCAAAGATTGGCAATGTGCTCCAAGGTCTTCAAACTAGTACAGGGCCTGGTATTATCATGTTGCAAGAGAAAGGTTGTCTTCTTCTCTAGCCTGACTCAGAACGTTAAAGCCTTGAGCTTAGTCAACATTGAAATGTAGTGATCAAAGTTGATGATTTGTCCAGGTTCAAGAAATCCAGAAAGATCTCTCCCAAAAGACAGTGCATCTTACTTTTTTCATTGAGGGCTGCATCTTGAACTTTTTTTTCAGTGAGGAGTAAACTGTCATTTTGATTCCAACTTCTAGTGTTGACATCACATCACTAGTAAGGATGCAACCTAGGAAACTGTCACTGTCAGTGAATCCTGCTGAACTTGCATGCAGTGTTCTTTCTGTTCCTGTGTGAGGATTTATGGGACCTACCTGACACAAACTCTGCAGTATTTCAACATTGCCATCATGGTTACCAAAGCACTGAAGTTGATATTTATCTTCAGACACAGTTCCCTGGTTATAATCTGATAATTTGATCAGAAGAGTTCATTGAGTCGCTCTATATTTTGTGGCTTATTTTTGCTTCATCTGTGCTTCCACATCAGGTGCCCCTCTGCTGCATTCTGTCACGTGGCAACAAAATGTAGTGGAACATTTTTGGGAAGGTTCATCCTTTACTGCCATGCCACTGACAACTGCCTCTGATATCTTGGGCCAACACAATGAAAAAGGAGGGAATTACTTTCAGATCAACTCTCATATTTATATTACCACTGTGTGTGGATAACAGAGGTCAGAAAAGAGAAAATATGGTTTTGTGTGTATCCAGAAGGAGGTCTTTTTTTTTTCTTTTTTTCCTTCTTTTTTTTTACGGGCACAAGAAGTTAAAAGAAATTTTAAGTGTTGGACAGACACTTCAAACGATGATCAAGTTTTGTAAATGGCTCTAAACATTCTGACCCATGCCTTTCACATTTCTTCAGTCACTGCATTGAGATACTGTCTCTAAATCCCTTGAGAGTGCTGCAGCTTGGGGTCACTGAAGTTCTTCTCTAGGCCTATAATGAGCTATAAAATGACAGGTACTTTTGGGGCTGGGTTTATGTGCTATGTGTTCACTGCTGCCCTGGAAATATCAGCTGAGTAAAGATGGAAGTGGATGCTGATTAGGTACCTATTTAAGAAACCCTGTCCATTCTGTGCAGTCGCATAATGCTACACAGAGGGTGGCTGAATTAAGGTCATACAGGCAACCTTAATACTGCCATTTTGAGACTTTTGAATGCTGGATTATGTGACCTTAATAGTACTATTTCAAAAGTATTTTATTTGGATGTGATTTTATATATTTAGGTCAGACAAAATTGCTAGCAATGTTCTCTGGTTCTAAAATCCACAAATCTATTCTTTTTAATAGCACTGCCAGTATGCAAGAGAGAATTCTGCTAGAGCTGATGAAGACCTCTAAAAATGAGTCCCTTTTGAGTGTTTTAATGACAGTGTTGGAAAATCCTTGTTGGTATGCTCTTAATTTATTTTTTAGATTCTGTACTTCTGTGGGCTCCCATTATAAGTGATAACAGTTTTGGGGGTCATACGGTGTCCTGTTCTCCTGCTCCCTGTATCACCTCTAGTCCAAGACAAGACAGACCAGCAATTTTGCTGTTAACTGATGTGTTACACTGTACACACCGTATAGTGTAAAGAGTCTAGTTCCAGGTTTCTGTAAAACAAAATTCCCAGTGCAGCCTGGTATATAAAAAAAATAAAAAATAAAAAATGCTTTTCTATCAAAAGAATGCCTAACTTTTGCTGTAGTAAACAATGGCTTCTGGTGACCTTTTTTTTTTTGTATGAGAGATTCTTCCAGATGGATGTTTGCAGTATATTTTGAAGAATTTTGTGGTGAAAATGCTCCACTGATGATCACCATTTTTTGCCATACTGAGCTAGAAATATGAAAGCTTAATTCCTGTCAGCGAAGACAGTGCTCGCAAGGTTATGCAAGTGAGTAGCTGTTTGCTAATGTCAATAAGGGCCCTGGGAACTGAGAAACTTGTTCTCTCTCAGGGTATTCCAACCTGAGCCTTTTTATAATCATTTAAAAGACAATTCAAGTGATAAAATCTATTATTTGTTTTGGAGAAAACGTGTTTTAAGGCATCAAAACTGCTTCATTATTTGAAAATACATTTAGAAAGCATACTTGCTTTTCATAGAGCTCAAAAGACAAATTTCAAGTAACAAAAGACTTCCTAGCAGGTGGTGGATAAACATTTTGCATTTCCAATACAAGTTGGGCTCATCTTTTGCTGCTGTAAGCAGTCTGAATATATAGTTATTTGCCAAAAAGATACAGCAGAAGTTGCTACAAGCCAAATCTGACAATCAGCTGCATCTGTCAGAATGTGACTAAGGAATTTCATTGCTCTGGCTAATACAACCAAACTTTTCTGAACTATATTTAACTATCTGTAACTATCTTTCATCCTGTCATCTCAAACTTGAAAACTTCGTCTCACAGGAATCCTCTTCTTTTGAGTTCATGATGTTTTTTCTCCTCCAGGCCTGCAAAACAGAGGAATAGAAAGGTTTCCAGAAATTATTTACTCAAAACTCAGCCTCTACAAGAGCAACGCCTCAAACCCGCCCTCACCAGAAGCTGCTATTAAGTGGATCTCCATAGCAGCAGTATCCAGCTGCTCTATGCTTGTGCAGTCTGGGGAGTACTAAGCTTCGCAAGAAAATGAAGCGTGTCCAGTTCAGACAGAACCCTCAGAGATTTTTCCTTGCTAGGTTTTTATCTGAGCAAACGTGAACTGTGACATTTTGAAGGCTTGTAACTCACCCAGACTTTGGCAGTCTCAGCAGGATAGGAAAAGTTTTGTTTCGTTTTAGTTTTCTAGTGTTTTTTTTTTTTTTTTTTTTNNNNTTTTGTTTTTTTTTTTTAACCCAAAGTAGACCTTGTTTATTTTTTTTTTTCCTCAGGTTTAAATACAGTGTTTCATTTGTATTCTTGTAAATAGCTGAATCATTTTGACTGAAATTTTCCAAAGGTTCAGACTGAGATGAATATTGACAGGGGGAAACTAGCCCAAGTACTGTCAAACAGTAACAAACTGGAGGAAAACAGGAAAAAAAAAAAAAAAGAGAAAAGATATGATGCATGGGGGAGGAGGCAGCCTTAAGAGGTGGTAGCAGTACTCCCAGCTACAACTTGTGTGAGACATGGTAAATACTGGCAAGTTCTAAAAACACTATTTCAGACTTCTTGTGGGTCAAAAAATACAGGCAGATAGATCATAGCCAGAAAGTCAAAGGAAATGATTGTTCCCTTCTCTTTATCACTTGTGAGGCTGCATCTGGTATTATGTATTTGGCGCTGGATTCTCTGGCACTTTTGGAAACTGGAAGTCTGGTAAATGGCCAAAAAGATTATTGGAGGCTGCATGATGTGTGATGGCAGGCTGAGGGTGTGAGTTAGGTTTTGTAGCAGTCAGAATATACCTGTTGAACAAGTGGTGATGGCCACGTGGTTCTTGATATGACCTGGGAGAAAAAATCCTATGTGCAAAAGGCTTTTATTATTATAAAATATATTTTATATTATAACATAATCTATAATATAATCTATAATATAATCTATAATATAATTATATACCAATATATAATATATAAATATATTTATATTATATAAAAATTATTTATTTAAACAGGCAGCTTTTAAGCTAGGCCCACATTCCAATATACAATGTGCAGAAAGCACATGGCCTTTCCTAGCTACTTTGCAGCACAGCAGTGAGCTTTGTCTGCTCTGTAATGCCTTAATTTCTAGCTGCCAGTTAGTTGTAATAACATCTCACCTACATGTGTGCTTTGAATGCTGTTTAAAGGGCCCTGGAAGATGATGAATAACAAGGCATGTACAGCTCCTGTTTCTACTGTATGTATAGACAAGATAGCTTGGCTCAGGCTGCAGTAAACATCTATTAAGGGGTATGGCCTTCCTGGAATCTCACCTATCCAGGTTGTTATAGCTGCCACACAGTGGATGTGAGACTTCATACTTGGTCCACCAGAATGGCTGGAGGCTTCTGGTTAGACAGCGGAATCACAGAATTTCAGGTGTTGGAAGGGACCTCTGAAGATCATCTAGTCTGACACCTGGAGTAGATTGCACAGGAGAGAGCCCAGATGAGTTTTAAATATCTCCAGAGAAGAAAACTCCACAACCTCTTTGTGTAGCTTGTTCCAGAGCTCTGTACACCTCAAAATAAATAAGTTCTTACTCATGTTCAGATAGAGCATTCTGTGTTCCAATTTGTGTCCGTTGCCCCTTGCCCTGTTGTTAAGCACCACTGAAAAAAGACTGGCCCCATTCTCTCAGTCTTCTCCAGGCTAAACAGTCCTGGGTCTCTCAGACTTTTCTCATAAGGGAGATGCTCCAAGCCCTTCATAATCTTTGTGGACCTCTACTGGAATCTCTTCAGCAGTTCCCTGTTTTTCTTGAACTGTGGAGCCCATAAATGAACACTGTACTCCAGATATGGTCTCACCAGGGCAGAGCAGAGAAAGATCACCTCCCTTGACTCTCTTTTTAATGCACCCCAGGATACCACATGGCTTCTTGCCACTTCTGGTTCATGGTCAATATGTTGTCCACCAGGACACTCAGGTCCTTCTCTGCAGAGCTCCTCTCCAGCAGGTCATTCCCAGCCTGCACTGATGAATGTGGTTATTCCTCCCTGGGTGCGGGACTCTATGCATGCTGTTGTTGAACCTCATCAGTTTCCTCTCTGCCAAACTCTCCAACCTGTCCAGGTCTCACTGAATGGCAGCACAGCCTTCTAATGTGTCAGCTGTTCTTCTCAGCAAACTCATTGAGGGTGCACTCTATTCCTTCATTCAGGTTATTGATGAAGATGTTAAACGGTGAAAATCCTTCCAAACAGCAAGAATAGATGGCCTCTGCTGTGCCTGCAGCTTTCCACTTGAGAGACACAGCTTAACTGGTCCATAGTTGGCCAAAAGGACATGCCTGTGGGTAAGTGAAACAGGTGAGTGGAGAGCATAGCCTGTAGCCTCCTGCCCTGCTCTTCCCAGCTGTGGGCAGGGTCAGCCCTTGCGTGACTGGAGTGAGTTCTTCTGTGAAATGCTTTCCACCAGAAGTGCAATTTCAAGGAGGGGAGGAAGTTTTGTAGCTGCAGATCTCAAGGCATAAGATTGGAGAGGCTATCAGGCAGAGTTGGAAACAGAAACAACGTATCTTCGTTCTTAATTCAGGGGCTTGACCTCGAAGCATCCTTCCTGATGTGGACATGATACTGTGTTTTCCATTCTTTCTTTTTCTTAATGTTTTCATTGAAGATAACAATATTTCCTCCTCGTCATCTTTTCTCCTTATGAAAGGTATCTTCCTCTGTCTTTTATTGTGTTTTTCTCCTTGGGCTGACTGCTCTCTCCTACTTTCTGGCTCTGTAATACATATTTGCAGCAAACAACCTGGCAGAGTAGTTCTGGCAGAGCCTTCCAATCTGAAAGTCATCCAAAGTAGATACAGCAATGGTCACAAGTGATACGTAGAAAACAGACAAGAAAACAGAAGTTAGAGATCCTGATTTCCTTATTTTTTGTTCCTGTTCACCTGATTCTATCCCATAAAACTTAATGGATACCATCACTGGTAAAATGTTTCCTCATGCACAGTATGCTGTAGGGGGAAGAGACAGATGTTCTGTAGCTACCGGTATGAACCTGTACAATGTGCTCACCCAAGGAGGTGAGCGTCACAGAGCACCTGTATGTCTTCTGCTCCACATGCAAAACTTCTTCCTTTTTATCTCACCTGAACTAATATTAGCCTGTAATAATGCAGGGCTTTGCTAAAGGAAACCATAGTTCTCCCTTGCCCTTAACAGATAGTGTTTTTTTTCTTGCACACAAGGATGCTGTATGCTTATATAATAGCACAACTATGAAGTTGTAAGATAAGAAAGATGAGGGTGCCTCTGGGACTGCAGGTAAGGAGACCACTGGTCACAAGGAAACAAGAAGTACCATGAAGGGAGGAAGGCTCTAAGCATGTTCTCCTGTGATGCTGGAGGTGGCTGAGGTGACAAGTTGAGATAGCTGTGTTCCGGTTCCTGTCTCAATTTAGGAGTGCTGGAGGCAGGAACATAGAAAATAGAATTGCGCACACAGTGCTGTCAGATTATCTTTATTTTTTACCTTCCAGAACCCTTGCCATCACATACTAGCAATGCATTTGACTAGCCTCTCTCTTATCCTTTCTTTATCCTTCCAGTTTAGTTGGAAATGCTATATTAGGTGTATCTGTGTGCCTTGAAAGGATGGAGATGTCTTGGTGGCTGATGACTGTTCCAGGGTATTCTTGGGGTTGGACTGGAAGGGCTCTGTTCTGTGTTGATCCTTTTCCTTTCCAGTCAGTATGTGTTATATGGGAACAATTTGACAGTTCAAAAGCTGCTGCTGCTTTTATGGCTCTGCACAGTTTGAAGCCTGCTGTAGGCATACTGGCATAGAAATTTTGATAGCTGTATTGTTCATTGACATGAGGAAGACCTGTAGGTCACACTGTTATTGTAAATTATGTGATGTACTGATTGTCTGTGCATGTAAACCAGTACTCCTATTGAGTTTCTTTGGAAGGAGACAAGGCATGTTCTACAGCAATTGAGAGAGTAAATACAAAAAGCTATAAGGAACCTTCAGCTAACTTAAAATTGATAGGTTAGAGCTTTTGAAAATATGTATTCTTCATGGGGCAGAACCAGGACAGGTGCATTAATTATGCCAAGGGTTGTTCCATCCCACCTGACACAGAGCAGAAACTGAATGGAGTTGGCTCTGGGGCAGCTGCATCTTGGGTGTTGTGTAGGCATCAACTGGTTGGGGTGAGATGTGTTGCTAGCGAGATGATTCTCAGTGGGTAGTTGCACTGTTGGATACATAATGTGGTTTCTGTTAGAAGTCAGAGAATGTTACAGGAAAGATTGATAATATGGAGGAGGGGAAGATTAGAGGCAGATGTGGAGGTCTGGTTTTTACTTATTTATCTTTTTTAAGAGAACTGGTGGAGTTCTGTGGAGTTTAGTGACAACTTAAAGCTTAGAGATAATAGACTAACATGGAGAAGCATCATTTTAGATGACCCCTTTATGGAAGATCTCTCTTGAAAACAGCTTCAGAATATTTTCTTCACTGAATTTAGTTATTGTCTAGCCTTTGTTGCTCATTAAGTCTAACGGAAAAGTCTGACCTCCTGGAATTCAGGTCAAAATCTTCCAGGTCTATGAAAACACCAGGAGACTTTAATAAATGGTGACCTTACTGGTCTCCTGCAATGGTTGAAATTGTAACTCTCGCCATCGTCAGCACAGAAAAAATGCATGCTAACCATTTTAAAACAAATTTGGAAATACTAATTTCCAACTTTTACTGCTAGCAGTTACTTGTGTTCTCTAGCCTTGGGAATATCTGCTTCAGTTTCCCACCTGCAAAATTAATGTTTAGAGAAGTCTGAAAGGGATTTTGTGGAACTTGGTGATCATAAACTAAATAGAAGATGGGGGTATTTGCTAGTCTGCAGCCTGCAAATATAGCTTTTCATTTTTAATATATTGACACTGGTTTCCTGAGGAAATATATCTTAGACGTACTTCGTTGCTTTACATCTTTTGCTTACTAACTACTGATTTTAACTCAGCTCTTGAGTTGGAAAGAAAAAGAAAAATTAAGGATTTGTGAGAAAATAGGTATTTGGATGGAGAAGGTGGGTGGTGTTGACACTAAATTGAGTATTAAAGTAGTGGAACCCATGTACAGTCAGCTTATATATAGATTCTCCAACAAGGAGAAAACGTCAACTGTGCATTTTGCTTTTGCAAC